GACTTTAAGGCAAAAGCTACAAGACAGTGAGAGGGAGGTGGAGATAGAGCTAAAAGCTCTGTGCAATTAATTAATAAAGCTTAGAGCTTGATTCACAAAATTTAAAACCTTAAATATACGAGTGAATAAATTTGAGAGCTAGCCTAAAGATCAGCAATTACATTATTTTCTTTTTGATTGCTTGGACCGAAGCCTGGAATAAAGCTACATAAAAACTTAAAGCTGATGTCAGCTTAAAGCTCGCCTCTCTTAGTTTTGAAGGCTAGCGCCTACAAGTGAGCTGTAACCCAATGTCAGCTTAGAGGACTCTGATTAGAAAGCTCTTGGAAAACGAGTAAGGCTCTTTCTAGAGCGGAGGTGAACATGCGAAGCATTTCGTCCTGAGCTTGTTGATAATGCTGAACATGAGCTGAAAACTTGCTCAAGCGAGAAAAGAGCAAAGAAAGCTCTGTCTAATCTAAAAGCTGCTCTAATCCAAAAGCTTACGCTAGCAAGGAAGTAAGAATAAATACAACAACAACAAAGGTCTGCCCACACAGCTTTCAACTAATTTTAGAGGAATTCAAAAGTAAACTCCGACGTCAGCTGGATGAGCGTCACGTGCGACTGACGGGACATATCGACGTAATGAGATCAGTTAAGGGCGCAAATGAAAATGAGATGTACGCGCAGATTGTTATTATTACACAAGCTTTTTTTTCGCCACTTATAAATAAAGTACGCCAAAAATTATGCGCTGGCTAAATTAAAAAAAAAAAAAAACAGAAAATGTAATGAAAATTATAAATAACCAAACAATCAACAACATATCGAATAATTCGACCCACAGAACGTCACAATGCCAAAAATTGCATTTGGGTGTGGATTGCGCTGGCTGGGTTGAGCGGAGCGTCGCGGCAGCGGGAGTTCAGTGTGTGCGCGCGTGTGTGTGTGTGTGTGTGTGTGCCTGTGTGTGCGAGGGGAGCAGCCGTTAAGCGTCAGAGATGCGCGCACTTAACACAGTTAAAAAACGCGCGCGACAGATGATGATGATTTTTGATTTCCAGTTTCCAGTTGAAATTTGCCAGTTGGGTATATTTTTAAGTGCCCAGCCGAAATTAGCCAAAGAGGCAGACGGTCAAAGTCAGTGGGCGTGGCGCAAAGGTGGCTGACCGTTAGGATGCGGAAAACGCAAAACAACAACAATGCACACAATAAATTGGAAACGCATTTAACAAAGAGAGAGCGAGCGTGAGAGAGAGAGCGCGTGAGTAGTTGAGCGGCAGCAAGAGCGAGAGAAATACGCTGAGTGGTAATAAAATATTTGACAGTCAGACAAAAAAAATGTTAATAAGCAATAAATAAGAAAAAAATTACTTTTCTCTGTGTCCGTGTGGGCTGCAAAGAAGCAATAACAGCACCAGCCACAACAATGCAACGCATTTATGGGCAAAGTCTGGTAGGTGTTCGTACACATACATACATATATACTATATATTTCTGCGCATACATATTTCTTTGTTTCTGTATATGCTGCTGCATTAAATCGCATTTATTGAATTCACATTTAACCGTGTTCTGCTGAGAAAATATATTTATGCGCCTTAACAGATCCTTTGCATGCGCACTAACAGTGCACTGTTAATGCTACGCACGCACTGTTAACGCCGCAGACAGCACGTCTCTTGCGTGCGTTGTGCGTCGTGTATGTCGCGTGCGATCGCGCGTACGCTTTTTGACGCTCAGCATAATTTGCAAAATCTGCCTTATTTGCAAACAACAATTTGCGTATAGCTTATTAATTTTGATTATTTGCGAAGCAACGTGTCGAATTGATTGTGCCAATAGATTGTTTAATCAAAAACTTGCACAAAAAGCACAAAAGAAGAAAGTTTAACTGTTCAACGAAATGTTTGCTCTGCTTTCGTTTATTGAGGTTATGTTTTTGCGTATTCCGAGTGTCCTGCTTTACACAACTGCACAAAAATACATGCTCACATAAAATATTCGTCCCAAATGCTTGCCAAAGATCATAAAATTCTGGACACATGCATTCCGAAAGCCTTCAATTGATTCAAAGTAGACTTTGAATATCCCATTGCTTTGTTGAAACTACACTAATTTTCATGGGAGTATCATTTTGGCCAGGGATATGCCTTAAGATAAAGCACGATATATGTAACGCATAGACACATACATATGTATCTCCGAGCTCATAAATCTTTTATTATGAGAGTTTTTATAGATTCGTCTTTTTGCTTGTCTGATCTCAATATCATATAATTGCCACAGGAATCGGTCAAATAATCAATGCAAATCAGTACTACGCAAATATAAAAATATGTGTATCCATATAGAAGCTAAGAGTCTGTTATAAATAGACCCAATGCATGACGTATATCAATCGAGAAGATATCAAGCGTATGCATTTTTAAAGTGTTGCGAATTTAATTGCAAAATTATAAAAAACTCGAGTAAAAGTGTATTTAAAAATGGGTCAAGAAAATTGGGAGCACAAGCATAGATTGCATATCACGCATACATACAAAAATACATGCGCACATACATGCACATAGACATACACACATACACATGTATGTATTGTGCATGCACGTACTTTGTATAATAGACAGCATGGCGGCGACATCGGCCGCGACATCAGCTGCGCTACGTATATTGATAACATAATGTAAACATAAGCAGCTGTTAACCGCTGCAGCTGTTGTTGATGCTGCGCTGTTAAGGCACCTGGCTTGGGGTCTTCCAGGTGCGGGTGCGGGTGCAGGTGCGGATGCACTTACCTTTCCGTCGTGGGCTCGGCGCAAATGAGCGCCTGCTTCAGCTCAATGGCCTGGCCATTTTTCTCCTTCAGCTCCCCATTTTCACTGTAGTATTGTACCAGCTCCGGCAATGTTGCGAACTTTTCACCTGTAACAGGTAGAGAAATGTTTGTACTTGTTACAATGCTATTGTTGTTGGTGTTGTTTTAGTGTTGTTTTGGACACTTACCGCCATAAAGATCGAAGAAATCACCATTGTTTTGGATTTTGATGTGTGTTACCTCGTTGCCACGACGCACGGAAAGCGTGAATGCGCCCGGATTTGAAGATGATAGACGCGCTAAATATGAACCGTCGTAGCCCTGTTCCTGCAATAATTTTTCAGCTTCGATGCCCGATATCGTTGGGTGGAACCATCTATAAAACGTGCAGGGAAACATATGTATGTATGTATATAAAACGGCACCAAATAAAACGGTGTATGTGTGCGTGTATATGCTCGTCTGCGTGCGAGTGTGTGTGTGTGTGTGCAAGGCAGACATCAAAGAGCATTGTAAATAATCGTGTCACGATTATTAAAGCTCTACTACAATTTACAGCTGCGTGAGTCGCGCGATCGTGAGCACATCTTTAATATGGTACAACACATAAAGTAGTCCGTAAAGGCAGCAAACGCTTTTGACCCAGCCACCTGCCTTACCACGCCCCTCCCCGAGTACCGCTGCCGTAACGTGACAGTAGCAACAGCGGCGGCAGCGGCAGCGCCAGCGGCAGCAGCAACAGCAGCAGCAGCAGCAGCAACAGAGGTGGCAGACAGCAACAGCTGTAGCTGTAGCACAAGCGATACTTTTGCAAATTGTGAGCCGGCTGGCGGGGTGGGGCAGTGTTTGCGGGGGGTAATTTACTTTTAGCACTTTGTTGCACTTTTTTATCTCAATGTTGTTGTTTCTGTTTTTTCTCGCAGCTTTGCTTTTTTGATTTTTTTTTTTGTATATACTTATACATATGTAAATAGACCCAGAGTGTATCTATGTGTATGTGTGTGTGCGTGTGTGCGAATGTGTGCGTGTGTGTGTGTATGGTACATATGTGTTGACAGTGTGTGTGTGCGTTCGCTTGCGTGTGTTGGTGTGTGTGTACATTGTCGTTTTTCCTATTGGATTTACCTTCGCGATGACATTTTCTTATTAAACGCGCACTTAAAAAATAAATAAATTGTACACTTAACGAAAAAAAAAAAATGAAACTTATGTGTATATGCTTTTGTTTAAACTTATTTTTACTGTTTGGATACAAAAAAAAAAACTATGGATAGGCAAGGCTAGTTGACGTAGTGATGGGAGCTATCGAGCACGATTGCTATCGATGCCAATCAGCCACCTATCGATGTTGGCTGTAAGCTGCAAATAGCGTGTACACACTGGCGAACAACAATGCGCGATCCATAAAAGTAATCGTTACACAAAAAAAGACAGTACAATTTTGATGATTAAAAATATGTTTGATCGTAACGCTACTTACCACTCACTTTTTTACAAATAATAATGCACAACAATGGCCACTTTAAACCGCCATTTGAAATGTGGCAGCTGGTCGATAACTTTTGTAACTGCCACTGGGCCCTGCCTTAATGGGACAACATTGAGATACAATTTGTTGTTGTAAGTTCCAATTGGAAATGGAGACAAGAGTTTTTTGGCTTTTGTAATTTTGTTTTTTATTTAAGCAATTTAAAAGTTTTTTCCTTTTGTATATAGAGCATTGCATTGCATATATACAGATATATATTTATATATATATATATAATGCATTTTATTTGTGTTGGTTTTTATTTGTTTCTTTCTCTGGTTTTTGGTTTTTTACTAATTTATCAAATAAATATAATTTCCATGCTTTGCTTTCATTTTTAGCATGGACTTTTCAATTAAATTTACAAACACGTTCGCTTGATTTACATGTTTAGTTATTATTTTTTTATTTCATTTTTGTTGACACCTAAAAAAAAAATGTTTGCCATTGAAATTTGCATTTTAGTTAATATTTGTTTGTTTCTTTCTTTTTTTCTTCTTAATAAAGCGCGCTCATATATATATATATTTTTTTATATGTATATATATAGTATATGAATCGTAAACATTTATGCAGTTATATTTTGTATGTTGTTGTTCAAGTTTAGGTTAGTTTTGGTATGAATGCATATTTGACTTTATTTGTTTATTTCTGTTGTTTTTTTTTTCTTCGTTTTTGTTTTTGTTCATCAAAGGTACCTAAGATTTGCGTTAATTGTGGTGCAAACGCCTACGAAATTGCCCCAAAAAGATCAGCGTCGATAAAGTAGCCTTCGAAAAAAAGTGTATGCAATCTTCGGTTAGCCGAAGTTAACAAAATTCGCTTTTTCATTTTGTGATTTGTTTTTGTTTGTTGTATGTGAGATGTGAAACATGATATAAATGTTGTTCTTGTTGTTCTTGTTGTTTGGTTGTTTGGACTGTTTATGCTTTGTTTTTGTAGTTAACATAAGGCATATATGTATATATATTTATATATATATAAATGTGTATATATTTAATTAAATAAAAGCACTGTGCGCCTGACTCGATTTTAATCTATTTATTTGTGTTCTTATTTTGCCTTTTGTTTTTAGTTTATATATTATATTTGTAGTTGTATATTGTAAGTTTTTAAAGTGTATTTGAATTTGCATTCAAGCATATTTATTGATAAAAAGTAGATAACACAGCGTTTTGCATGCAAATTATTTAAAATTAAAATTACATTTTTAATGAATTTTAAAAATTGTAAACAGAGCGAAATGCGCTGTTTTTTTTTTGCTTTTTTTTATGGCAACGCGCGCGCCTCGAGCATTAAATAAACATAATAATAATTATAATAATAGTAATAATAATAATTATAATAACAAAAAAATTATATTTGAGTGCCTTTGTATTGCAGTAGCTTAAAGCAAAATGAAATAAAAAAATTATAATAATAATAATAATAATAATAAAATTGCAACAAAATGGAAAACAATTGTTTAGACATTATACAATAATATTAATAATAATAATAAACCTGATGCTGAGTTGAGTTGATTTATCAAAATGCAAACTCGTTGGGGAGCACAGCTTGAAGCAAAAGTCGAGCAAGGAGCCAACATTCAGTTAGTTGCATACATATATATGTATATATATATATATGGTGTGTGTATAGATTAACAACTTTTGTTTCTTTTACGATATTTACTTATGCTGAAACTGTTTCCAAATCGATTGGTTACCAGTTTAAAACAGCGACGTTCACATATATGTATATATATATATATTTATATATATAGAGAGAGACAATTATTTAAATGTTTTTTTTTTTTTTTTTTTTTTAGTTTACATGCATATATGTTTATGGCATTACAATACATACGCATGCGCTCATCTATATATGCTAGCTATTACAATTTGTTTTATTTAGTATTTCTTGAAGCTTAACAACATTTCGACTATGCGACATTGTCTTTAAATATGGTAAATTGTTTTTGCATATTTTTTTTTTTTTATATTTTTGTATATTTTTGCATTGTTTCTTTAGTTAAGAATTTTGCATATAGGTTTGAGTATTGCGTACTTTGCTTAAACACATTCACTTTCTCTTTCTTAATACTCTAGCTCGTTCTGTCTAGCTCGCGATATAGCTATATCTGGCTAGATATCTGGGTTTAGCTCGTTTAGTTTGAAGCGTTTGCATATGACAAATAGAGTTTGGGTTTGCGTTTAGGGCGTTTTTGCTCATATCATATCGAATATATTATTCGTATGTGGTACATTTATAAGTAATATAAACTAATTATTAAATAATATATATCGTTTAAACACAGACAAAGAGATAGAGCGTATATTGTTGCTGTAGCTATTGTTGCTGTTCTTGTTGTTGTTGTTGTAGTTGTTGTTGTCATTTATGTGGGGCAGAGCACCTTCAATATGTAATCCGTTAGCAGCGTCGGCACAGTCGGACTGTCCTCATTTATAGCCTTGAGTACTGCAAGAAAGTAAGAGTATAGTATATGAGCATATATTTGAAGAGTCATAGAGTATATTGTGGGAAATATATTTAAGATCGAACCAAACATGAAACTTCGTCCAAGAAAGCTTTGCCTTCCATGTCCAAAAAGTGTGTAACACATCTCAAATAAGTTATCAGATATTTGAAAAGGGTGAACCTAAAAAACGTCTACAATTGTTTTTTGCGATTTTTCAAACACTTGCGAATGGAATTTACTAAAAGGTCAATTGGTTTTTATATAGGAATATATTATGACTTATTATTATGTATAGGGATATCAGAATATTTGGCGCGAATGAAAAAAGAAGCAGATATATTTTGCAATTACCTTGCAATTACCTCCCTTGTATATAGTCTATACTCTACTATATTGATATATTAGGTATATCTGATTTCTGATCCCTTGAGGTATATACACATATGCATATTCTTCATCAGTATGAAGTGCTGCCTTCGTTCTAGCCTGGATAAATGTTTTTCCCAAAATCGATAAATATCGATTATCAGCATATCTAGACTACGTTATGTCTTTGTACGTTAAGAATACATTTTCTACTTTTGAATACACAAGCAAAGGCAAATCCTTAATTTTTAGTGTAAACACATAACTGAATGTCATATTAATGCCTTGTATAGCTTTGGCTGAAGAAAGAAGCGGCAAATAAAAAAAAATGCTGTCCTTTCAAGTAGTCCCTTTTGTTAACCCAAGGAATATATAGCTTATCTCAGCTGGACATTGAACCTGCAGCTCTCTTAAACATAGACATCTTTTTGATTTATATACATATATATAAAGATTGGGATTCCCGCGTAACTGTCAGTTCGCCAGCTCCTTCGCAAGCGGACACTCACTTTTGATCAACACCTGCAGCGACTGATTGTTGGGTGTGCCATTCTCCAGATGATACGGTATGACAGTGGTCAAATACTTGGGCTCCGGACCTGGAGCAGAAACACAAATATATTAGAACTGAATTATATACATATAAGCTTTCTATGTAGTAGTTTATTGGTAATTGCTTTTACCTTGGAATTTGCCGCGCTTCTTCTCGACATGGTATTGTCGACGCTTGTTTTGGACTGCCAGCAGCAAGGATATGAAGGAGTTCTTCAGCTCCTTCTCGTACTCGAGCTCGTCGCGCAGCGCCAGCTCATTGATCAGTGTCTCGCTCAGCTCCTGGATGAGCATCTCCATTTCCATATACAGCTCGTTCAGCTGTGTGCTGCTCAGATATTGTAATTCTAGGCAAAAAGAGATCAGAGTTTAGCTATCGAACTGACTTCGCGTGCGAATGACTCACTCTCTGCATAAAGCGGGGCGCCGAGCACCTCGCGCGCCTTCTCAATGACCTCCGAATCACAGGTCTCGGGCTCATCCAGCGGACTCTCGGCCTCATCCATGATGTCATCAATTTCCTTGATCACCTCCTCCACCGTCTTGATGGGATGATCGTCGGCATCCCCGTTCAGGCCGTTCAATATCAAGGCATGCATGTCCAAGTCGTTGGCCACCGCCTCATCCTCGCTGGCCAAGTCGTTGAACTCATCCACTGGCGTTTGTGCATCCAGCGTGTTAGACTGTTGTTGTTGGTTTTGTTGTTGCTGCTGCTGCTGTTGCAGCTGGTTGCGCTGCTGCTGCTGCTGCTTTGTTCGGCTCTGACCCAGATTGAGGGTCGGCATGTGCATCTGGCGTGTATACGACTTGGACCAGTCAATGGGCAGAATGTTGCCAAAGTTCCCAGTTATGGTCCACCACATTCTGCAATAGATAATTAAATATCATGTGAAAATTATTCCAAAGATTAAAGAAAATAAGATAACAAGGACAAGCAATAATATTTGAATCTATATTTGGGCAAATTCAAAACCCACAAAGGGAAAACAAAGAGACAAAGAGAGAGAGAGAGAGTGAGAGAGAGAGAGAGTGAGAGAGAGAGAGAGAGAGAGAGAGAGAGGGAGAGTTAAAGCAAGAGAGAGGGAAAGACATAAAGAGCGACAGGCATAAAGAGAAGACAGAGAGAAAGTAAGAGAGGGCGAAACACAAAGGGAAGACACAGTAAGAGAGAGACAAAAAGAGAGAGTGACACAAAGAGAAAACATGGAGAGAAAAAAGAGGGAAGACGAAGAGGGAGAGTGAGTCAGAGACACAAACAAAAGACAGAGAGAGAGAGAGAGAGAGGAAGATAATAAATACTGTGCGTGTAACGGAGAGAAAGAGTGAGAGAGAGTCTGACATAGAAGGAGAGAAGAAAATAAAGAATACGAGTCAGCGAGAGAACGAAATAGAATTTGTGAATTCTGTAAAAGTGGAGTTAGAAAGGAAAAGACAGAGAACTAGAGTAAGAGTATGAAAATTAAAGAGAGTGAGAGAATAAAGGGAAGAGTGAGAGTCAGAGAAATTCAACAAACAATATAGACTCGACAAGAGATTAACAGATTGAGACAGAGACTAAGAGCGAAAGTCAGAGAAAGAGAGCGAAAGACTGCGAGAGAGTGAGAGAGGTAAAGGAAGCTGAGAGTGGTCCACTTTTGATACACACACACCAATACAAAAATACCTCAGAAAGTGCCAGCCCCTAATTGAAATTATGAGAATCGCATAGAAGGGCATGCACACAAATTCGTTATATTTCGAATTTTGCAGCTGGGAAAAAGACATTGAAATTTGATTTAAGTGCGGCATACGTGCATTTATATGCCACACTCGAGCACACTAGAACCAGGTGGACGGACGAACCGATAGACAGATGTGTCGGCTGATCGTACTGATCGAGAATATATATAATTACATATTATATATATACCTGTGCGCAAAACTTAAATAATGAACTTTAAATGGAAGCAGGGTTTAATGTAGAAACTACGAAACGTTTTGGGTAAATTGTTTTAAAAGTACTTTTAACATGCACAACTTAGATTTTTGTTTGCCTTTTTTTGCCCCGCCCCCCGCCAGTGGGTCAACGATTCTATGAGGCAGTATTCCATAAATTCCAATGCACACTTTTAATGGCGTCTGGCGGCGCCCAGTTGAATTTCTTGGCTATTTATTGCGGATGAGAGCAAATGTTTCGTATGCCACCCACTCCAAGTGCAACAAGAGCGACAAACAAAAGGCACAACAGCGGCGAGTGGCACACGTTAAATGTGGTGCAATGTGCTGCGACTTACGGCTAACAACAACAACAACAACAACAAACAACAACAACAAACAACAAAAAAGGCAGCAGCAAAAAGAGGAGTGAAAAAAACTGGCACAATAAACTGGCAAGTGCCTTGGTGACGACTTACAAGGAGGCTAAGTGAACAGCTGGCAAAGATTACAAGGCGCATGCGACTGTGGCATGCCGGCATGTTGGTGCGGCAGGGGAAGGGGAAGGGGAAGGGTGGTTGGCTTGCTGCAATTGCACTGGTTGCTGTCTCGGCTAAGCGGCTGATAAAATGCCTCATTAGGCAGCCGCCAACGCACGAGCCATGCAAATGAGATGCAATTGCAATTAAGATTGGAGATGGCAGAAACCACCAAAGATAAAACAAATGGCAATGCAGGAGACGAGCAAGCTAGACTGACAGTTACCCTGTAAATGTGAAGCAATTCAAATTGAGTGTTAGGCGGGCAGACACACCTTGTAAGATTGGAAATGAAAGCAACCCGTAAAGACGAGACAAATGGCAATGAAACAGACGTGGTTGCTAGACTGGGAGATACGCTCTAAGTGGATGGAAGTGAAACAATGGAGCATTACACTGATAGATAGCCTGTCAGGGAGATTGGATGTAAGACGCGAATGAAACAGTTATGAATGAAACAGAAGAAACAAATGGGATTGAAACAGTCGAATGTGCCAGACGCGGAGTTACCCGTTCTGATTGCTGCTATTCCGATTGAAATGGAATGCTGGAATGCCTGAAAGACGCGAATGAAACAGAAGAAACAAATGGGATTGAAACAGTCGAATGTGCCAGACGCGGAGTTGCCCCGCACACAGATTGCAATTGAGATTAAAATTAAGACTGAAATGTATACAAAATAAATGAGGACCTTTAGAAAACTGAAAAGCGAAACAAATGGACATGAAACAGACGATTTGCTACACTGGCAGTTACCCTGTACCCTCGTTCAATTCTGACAAAAATAAGGAAAACAAAGCGAGAGTAAGCAAACGAATGCCAAGTTTCAACATGTAATATGCCACAGAGCTAAAAGGAACTGATAGAGAATTCAAAACTGGCAGATACCCTGTAACAATACATACTGAAAACGGAAATCACAAAGTGAAATATCCTGTAATAAGCCCAAAGAGATACAAATACAAACTAAACACTATCAAAAATCAAGCTGAAAATTATGAGGAGGAGATTGCGTAATTGGGAAAAACCCCTGTAGAAAGGCCTGACTAATATACCTCTAGATTCTCTGGGCTGTAAGAACAAAGAACTTACATAGACACTCATATATATACATATGTATGTTTGTATAGGTAATAAAATTTCTCTAAATGCCCCACTAAAATACCCTGTATCAGTCAATTTAATTGGCACAGGGTATGCAGAATTGTGCGACGAGTGTCTCAAGTTGCAATTGGCATTTTGCCCAGAGTTTCCGCCCAGAGTTTCGTTTGTTTTTTGTTTTTTTTTTCTTTGCGCCGTCAGACAGTTTGTCTGCGTTGGAAGTGTATGTAAATTGTCTGTGTGGCACAATTGCTATCAAATTTCACGATCAATGCCAATCATTTAATTGCCAGATGGCTTGTAGATGCTCTCTCGCTTCTTCACTATTTGTTTTTTTCATTTTCGGTTTTATGTTACTCTGCAATTGCTGTTGCTGTTGCTGCTGTTGTTGTTGTCTTCCCATAATTATTCATGCTCTACATTTTAGCAATTGTCGGGTGTCGTTGTTGTAGTTGTTGATTAGCTGATGATGTTAGCTGTTGTTGATAATGATGATGATGATGATGATGATGAGCATTTTGCACTTGAGCGCTTTTGCAGCACAATCTCAAATGCCCTAAGCAATATAAGAGCTGATAATTAAACGGTCGTTGTTGATAGCTACGAGGCGCTGCGCTCTAGAAATTGTTATAATAGTATCGAGAGTTTTACACAATGTGATTCTTCAAAAAATGTTAACAAGAAGATGTCTATAGCTTGTCAAAATTGGTATAAACTCGTTGTTTATAACGAGTAACTCATAACGAGTAGTTTGTGCCGAGGAACTCGTAACTAAGAACGAGTAGTTCATAGCGAGTAAATTATAGCGATTCATTTGTAACGAGTAGTTGAAAACGAGTTATATAAAGTGAATAGATTGCAATGAAAAGTTGCAGTTGAATCAATTGCAACGAGAGGTGATTGAAACTAACAGCTTTTTGCGAGTAACTCGTAGCGAGTGTCTGAGGCAATTAGCTTATAAGGTGTAGTTTTCTTCTTGCCATCTTGCCATATTAGTTTTGAGAAGATTTCTGTAGCGAGCAGTTTGTCACAATTGATTATGGCTGGTAATTAATAACGAGTAACTTATAACGAGTGGGTAATAGCGAGTTGTCTGTGTAAAGAAACTCGTAGCTTAAAACGAGCAGTTTATAGCGAGTAGCTTATGGCGAGTAGTTTACAACGAGTAGCAGCTTATAACGAGTAGCTTATAACAAATAGTTTATAAGAGGTAGTACCTTATGCCGAGCATGTCAAAAAAAAAGGGAGCTTCTGATGCAGAACGAATAATTTTCCACACGCTGCTGACCCATCAATTAAATGTTGGCCAGAGTTTTTCTATTTTTGCATATGCATCCAGCTGGCAAACTCTTTTTGCCCCAGTCGCTCGTTGCAATCACATTTTGTGAATTCCGTACATCCGTAATGACGTTCGTGCTAAGAATTTTTGGTATTTCCTTGTGTTTCATTTAAATTTGTATTAATTCTTTTTATTTCGTATGACTGCTTGTTTCGTTTCGCTGGAAATGAATTATTTGTTGTGTCGGCTGTGTTTTTTTTACTTTGCTTTCAATATGTACATACATACATATATTTCTCTTCTTTGCCATTTGCCATGTGTAAATAAAAATCACAGGAATAAATATCTGTGACGAAAGTAATCAAGTTGGAGAAGATTGAATTGCTCTGACTTCCTAAGGAATGGGCCACGGTTATTTCAGCTGAAGGCCCACATTTATCGATAGTCGATATTTTGTAGTTTTCCTCGATAACGAACTAATTGCTGGTCAAGAAGACATTTCCCCATTTAGTAAAAACTGCGCATACAAATAGCAAAGTAAATAAATTACATTTTCGAAAGAGACAACTATGAAGAGTCCAGAGCCACATATATGCACACATGGCACATGGACCATGAAATACCCTTTCGTGAGAGATGATAAATAGTGTTAAATACTGTAGTATTTTATTGCCGAGTAGGGAGGATTGATATATTCTTAGGTTCAGTTTTTAATACGTTAAATTTATATTGATTTACAAACGAATTGCTATATCCTTTTCTTCAGTTTTTTAAACAATGAACTTATATTTATTGGTAAATTGATCTTATAATCGGGCGATAAGTCTATACGAGGAATCATTAATGAGGCTGAGTTTTTGGGTTATCTATTTTCCCTACATTTTGCTTTTCTATATATATACATATATATTCGCTATATATATTTTCTATAATATACAAATTGAAAGCTGATTGCTTTGTGGAACGCGGAATTGGAACGCCTCTTAATACAAATTGCGTTTATGAAGCAAGCACTGATTAATTGCACATAT